GGTCTCTATCACTTTAAAGGGTTGCCATAATTTGGGGGGGGGAATCATATCTTCATATACCAAACAAGGACTTTTAAGCTGCAGCCTTACTGCAGCTTAAAAAGCTATGCTATACATCCTGTTATTTATGCATATTCCTCATTGCAGAGGCTTAGCTTCATTTACATTACACATGGAAAGTGAGTGGAAGCAAATATTAATCTTCAGTCTCATGTTTTATAGGGTCTGACTCCAAATTCAATTACAAAAATGTGGAGTTGATATTTCTGTTTTACCTTATCTGTGTCTTATGTTTTGTCCTCTTCCTGGATAAACTAGTAAAAGGTTTTTAAGGTTAAAATAAACAGATTGTGGAAGAAAAGTGGTTGGTAGGAGAATTTTGATATGAAATACTGGAAATTGCATACATTCTTATGAGTGGCTTTTCTCCTGTGTTGTGCTCTGTAGGAGATTTAATTTTAGATAATGCATAGTAATGAAACGGGTAGCAATGCCAGAATATTTGTCATTTAATTTGTCATTTAATTTTTTAGCAGGAGGAAATACGTCAAGGAGTTATGAAAATGGGTTATGAAAATATCAAGGGCACAATATAAGCAAACCTGAATCCAGATTTGTGTCTAAAGGGCAATTCTTGGTATGCTTATTCAGAAGTGAGATTCCCTGTTTCATAGGGACTCATACCCAGTTCCAGGAAAGTGTAGACACAATTGCATCTTTAGTTTCTTATTCACAGTGTTCCCATAGAGCTCCCCTTTTGTCCAACTTACGCCATTTTCAGCACGTCATCCCATCCTAAATGTCGTGGAAATAATAGCCACTATCAAAATAATATCAACCTATGATTTAGTACAGAGCTAAGCGAGCTCAGACTCATTTTTCCCTTCTCCTCTCCTTTTCTAACATTGCTGTAATGCGATTAGAAGTTTCCATTTAGATTGATCCTAATTTAATGTCATTTGAATTTTAACCAGTAGCTCATCTTAACTAGTGTTAGCTGAAATCATCACATACTGTAGTTTAGAGTTGTCTTATTTCAACTAAGATTATCCACAATTTAACGTTTGGAATTTATATCAATATGTGGGTAAGATAAAAATTGAAGCAAAGTTTCTAAACTGTCCTTCATGGTCACGTTGGAAGAGGAAGACACATGAGCAATTGCAAGATTCACTGCAGCTTATTCTCATGATGCCAAACCATGCTAATCTCAGTATTATGTTCAAACACAGCCTCCTATTTTAAATCTGAAGTAAATGAATCCGGCTAAGATGGCTGTTTATAATTCTGTTTTGGGGGAATATGAGAAAGATATTAATAGGATGAATATATCCCATTGTGCATCTTTACTGTCTGGAATAATAAGACCTTCGTGTCAGATGACTTTTCACATTGTTATGATTGTACAAATTGTTTAGTCAAACATTACGTACATTTGTATATGCTTAAAATTAAATAGTGAAAACTAAAATTCATATTACTTTCATGAAGGGGAAAGTATTTGCAATATATATCCCCCTCATTTTACATATGTTGTATTGATACAAGGAGAAAGGGGGAGACACAGAGCAGCTGTCAACCTTGACATGCAGATGTTGTTGCTGCAGCAGCAAACATATGCCAATGTATGTCCCAATGAAGGAAGACTAGGAACATTTCCCATGTTTCTCAGGAACGGAATTGCCCCAAACCAATTCAAAGATGTTTAATTCTCTGAATCAAGCCAAGTCATTATAGAATTGTAATGACATGTTTCTTGAACACTACAGAGAAACATCACCCGAACAGGTTATCTATTTACCCTCCTCTCTTTTAGCTTGAGCATTTACCAGAAGAGTTGTAGATTTATTGATGAGGCTAAGGTTACAAAGACTTGGCAGTAATACTGTTGATTTTTTTTTTTACATTTTGTCACTAACATCTCTGGTTAAACTGGGTTTTCAGGTTTCTGTAGTGCTTCCAACAGTACTTCAAGCCCAAACTAGTTTTAAATTAACATTTTAGCAAGCAGTGAATATCTGCACATCCAGTTGTTCGGATTTATATGCATTTATTTTTATCATAACCATGGGGGAAAAATTATAATACAAGGCTACCCCCAACAGAGTCATTGCACCCCCATTCATGACCTTTCTCTTACTTTATTTTATTTTACAATCAATTGTTTAACAGCCACACATGCACTGTTTCCATCCCTTATGCTTCATTAGGATGACTTCTGTTTTTTTCTAACTGAACCAGAAGTTACGCGTTGATTTTTACCACTGAGTTTATCAACTGCTCTTGCTGGATCAAGGCCAGGGCCACAACATGATAAAGAGAGAGATTTTCCTTTCTGTTGTCCAGAAACAAAAACAGTAATACCTCTATGCAAAAACAGTTTCACATTTCACAATGTCATTTCTGTTTACTGAAAAGGATGAGCAAACTTCTCAAGGTACCACAATTTACTCCACTGCAGTCCTGTTGCTTGTTCACTGGATGCTGCCATATGCAGAGGCATCTGCAGGAAAGGACCCAAAAGGTCAAAATGGTGGCCACAACCATGCGATGATGCACCGAAAAGATATGGGTCTATGATTGCCCAGGTACTATACCCAGTTTGACCTTTTGACACACACCCCCTCGCAGACAGCCCTGAGCATATGCCAGCTGCATTTTGCCATGTGACAATTTTTATAGCATTGCAGTTCCACTCAGTCAGTATAATTCCTGATAGCAGTTTAATGGCCTTTGTTCCCTGGTGATCCAAGCTGCTTCTGCAGCTCTGAAATCACTGCTATAAAGCCAGTGGGCCAGCTTTGTTTCCTCATGACTGGTGATGCCCAACAATCACCTTCCTTAGCAAGACCAGGGGGAAGATTTTGAAACAGGCCTAAGTAATGACCCATTTGTGCACTATATTTTTGTCTGATTTTTTTTTTTAAGTAATTTCAAAAGACAGAAGTATGAGCTCTTGTTGCACCTGTCAAGGGTCACTGTGTGGATGCTAAATTACTTTTTAGAAGAATATGTCACCTTGGGCATTTTCACATTGTCAAAAAGAACTCTTTCAGTCTTATTTAGAGCCACCTCTGCTTTGTATTTTATTTTCTTGATTCACCTGCCACCTTTCTGTTTACATTCTATACAGGCATGGAGAACTACACATAATCAAATCTTCCAGCATATCCCATGCATTTGAGATGGATACTGGCACTGAGAAATTGTGTTCCAACTTTTTCCCTACTGTTCTTTTCTTGTCATTTGCATATACAGACAGGTGCTGCCAATAATAGACACACTGAGCAAGGACCTCAGATAAGGGTTGGGTTCACATATCTTGCTGAACAAGTCATACTGTGAGACCACTTGTGGTTCTACAAAATCACCGCGAGAAGCATTTTTTGATTAAAGGATGGGAGACTTGTTTTTAAAGCAATCAGTATGTTACCAAATAAGACTTGTGAGGTTGGTGTAAGTCATACAGAACTTTAACAATGCTGTTTTGTGGGTTGCTGACTCAGCCCCTCCTCCAAAACCCTACACTGATGATTCCCTAGACACATCCATCCAATTTTCTTGGCAACAAAATGAAAGGGTCTTGCCATTGCCTTCTTCCAGGATGGTGTGTGTATTTCATTTGCCATTCTTGCCTGCTTCCAAGGCAGTATTGCTTCAGTATCATGCAAAGTCATCTGGATGCTGCTGTCTAGATGGATGGTGGATAAATAAATGTAGCTAAATAGACATATACTATTTTTGTTGTAACGGCGGTGGCAATACGTTGGACAAAATGGCTGATGATGCTCTGCTGGAAATGTGTACTTGTGAGTCAAAAAGATTAACTTGATTAGTTGAATGTCTACACAGCAGAAGCCACACTATGTTTTCAAAAGGCAGATTTGAACAAAACCTGCCTTTCTTGTGCCAAAATAAAAACAAATGTTAGGCTCCTGATGAGCAGAAGTTGAATGGCTGAAAGGTTTAAAAAGATAGTTCCAGTCACAGATGTTATTATTCATCATTATCTTTAATGTGATTTGTCTTTCATGGTATCAGCTTCTTTTCTTAATAGCCAACTCATTTTTATACCTACTGTCAAAACTAGGTTTTTATGGAAGCTATATGGATGTTGCAGAGTTCAGAGAGATGCATGCTTACCACAGTTCTGTGAAAGAGTCGAGATATTTTGGAAGAGAAAAAGAGTTTACAGAAACAGTAGGATCACCTTAGGCCAGCTACTACCCGAATGCTGAAGCAATATTTTAAACAGATTAAGCTAACTCCCAGCTTGCAGCACACACTCTTGCTACCTCAATTCTCTGTTAAGTGTGATATCAAATTTTCTACCTTCTGCAACCTGAACTTCAGCTTCCAGAATTTTCAGCAGTGGTCATGCAAACTGGAATTCTGGAAATTGAAGTTCACACATTTGAATGGTACTCAGGTTGCAGGAGTCTGATGTATGATATATTATGTGCAAAACGATTTTGCATCTGGAAAAATATATTTGATTTTGTGTGAAGTGGCCATGTGGACAAAGTCATCGGGAAGGAGGCAAGGATTTTGAACGTGCCCCTGTGAGACTTCTCTGATATGTCTCCCAGCATATGTACTTCTCCCACCCAGAAACTCAGTGAATGTAAGACTAACAAAAGGGAGCAGAATTGTCATGTTCTTTGTTGCCAGTGGCTACAATCCTGCTTCCCTTCAATGGCAAGTTTGGAAGATGTCCGAAGGGTCATATTCCACTCTTTATGGCACCTTGGCATATCATACATTATATGCAGTAGGTCACTATTGAATTTATATCCTAATCAACTCATCCTGTGTGTCCATATTTATGAAAGAGGACATGATTACTTGAAAGTAGGCTCCACTGATATAAGTAAGTAAAGTTATTTTGAAATATTTGTGTTTTTAAGAAGTTATATCTAAAGAAAATATGATTACTAATATTCCTAGGTGAGATGGTGCTAATGTGAGGTGTAACAGATTTCTTCTTTTTCTCTCAACAGGCCATTCATGCTTCTGCCCCCACTGATGGAATGGATGCGAGTAGCTATAACCTATGCTGAGCACCGGCGCAGTTTAACAGTAGACAGTGATGATATCAGGCAGACAGCTAGGCTACTGTTACCTGGATTGGACTGTGAACCTCGGCAACTGAAGTAGGTGGTGTACTTTTAATATCCCACTTACATTTAATTGCAATGTATTCTAATGACGTTTGCTGCCTTCAAACATATTTTATACACACATACTAGAAGACTGTCCATGATGGCAAAGGCATCTCTGTCAGTATCATTTCTGAAGAACACATGTCACGTTGACTTATAAACCTTAGCATTTTCCTTTGCAATCAAAACAAAACTACCAAACCAAAAAAAATTATCTAATTTTTTAAATTATCTAAATGGGACAAGCTCCTCCTTAGACTTATTGTGAGTGACAACACATGGCCCCAAGGGCAAATCACAGTTTGTTCAAGAAAACTGAAGGACAGCATTTCTAAAGGTGAAATTGTCAGCCGTATAGAAGGAGGGTCAACATAGCTTCTGCAAAGTCAAGTCAAGTCTCAATAACCTTTAGAGCTTTTTCAGAGTGTAAAGAACCATGTACAGAAGGATAACCTTGAAAGATTAATTGACTTGGATTTTGAAAAGGCTTTGACCAAATATCAAAAATTCTTGAGCAAACTTAGCAGTCATAAGTAAGAAGAGATTGATAATGATTAAATAAGAGAAATCAGAGAATGGGATTAAGTGAACAGTTCTTGCAGTGGATGAACATAAACACCACTGTCCTGACGAATCTGCATTAGGACCAATGTTTTTATTCTTTCCAATCCAACAGAATATTGGAAGGAAATTATATAAAGGGGCTTGGTACCATCCGCCTCTGGCCCTCTGTTTATCTATCAATAGGAAAGCTCTCCCAAACCAGAATAGAACAGTACCAAATTAGGAGAAGCAGGCAAAACAAAGATTGAGTTTTTAAAAATGGGCTGGATTTGGTTGGAGCTGTAGAGAAAAAGAATCCAGTAACTCAAAAATGCTGCTAACTGTTCTGCTCTAAGCCCCCACTTTCCTGGTCATGTGACCCAGAGCAGAATGCGTGCAGCCTACTCAATACTTCCCAGGACACGCAAAAACTCATGGACAAAACATTAGTTTGTTACACAGAAGAAAGTAAATATGCCCCCTGTGGCCAAGGGGTTGGAAGGAATTCATGAAGCCATGCCCTGCATGCTTTCTTTAACTTGTTTGAGCAATAATTTTATTTAGCTCACTTTCAGCCCAACTTACCTCACCAGGTGGTTATATACCAAGCTGAACGGTAAGAATATCTGGAGAAACAGTTCCTCGCTTGGATAGTGCATAATTAAAAATGTAAAATCAATTTCTACAAAAAGAAGCAGCAGCTACTGATTTTTAAAACTGCTTGGCCCAATTCATGAAGAATAAAACTGTCAGTGGCTGCTAATCATGATTATGACAGGATATATGTATGAGTCATAAGGGGTGGTGCTATACAGAATGAATGAATGAATGAATGAATGAATGAATGAATGAATGAATGAATGAATGAATGAATTGCATTAAGCATATAAAGTAGCAGGATGAACGTATGTTCCCTCTAAGATGTACATATGTACACGACTCATGAAACCCATGCACGTGGCAAAAAGTCAAGTGCACACAAAATTGAGTTTAAATAATAATAATAAATTTCATCACCAATCACCATAAAACTCCAGGCTCACGACTCACAAGTAGTCCTGCACAGGTTTGCCGCCTCAGCTTACCTGCAGCAGTGAGAGTTGCTTGGTGCCGCCATGGCATAGACTGAGCTTGAGCACCACGTGACCGATGTTCACTCTCTGTCCATGCTGCAGCAGTGCCAAGCCACTGTCGCTGCTGCAGGTAAGCCAAGGCGGCGAGTTTGTGCCTTTTGCCCAGGACAGCAAGCAGGCAGTCTTCTCCCAGTCCTGCAGGGGTAGCCGACCTGCTCCAGACCCCAGAGCCTCCAACACACAAAGGAACGCCTCCCTCCAAAAAACCTTTAATTTATTTCCCTCCTCTCTCCAAATATCTTTAATTTCCCTCTTCCCTCCAAAAAAAGTTTCATTCTTTTCCCTTCCTCCTCCAAAAAGGCTTGATTTCCCTCCTCCCTCCAAAGAAGGTTTAATTCATATCTGTTGAGTTATTAATAGATCCATGATGATCCATGATGCTATAAACTTTATAAAAATTTCAGTGTTTAAATTTAAATTAATTAAAGTTCAGAATACATCCAGAAAAGAAGGAAAGAATTGGAGAAAATGAAAGAGAGGGTCTAACTAAATGCTTTTTGTAGAATGTTTATTCCTTTTTTCTTTCTTTTAATTTTTCTTTCGTTACGATATCAAATTCCAAAAGAAAAAAAAATTAAATGCTTACAAAATATTGATTGCAATTATCAGTTATCCATGAGTTTATATCATACTTTTAAGATTGCTAGATGAAATGCACTGAGCATGAATATTATCATTTTTCTTTAAGTGTTCAGAAATGGGCTAACAGTGCAAGATTTCTTTCCTCCAAGTCTTTCAGTCTAGCAGTCTAATTTCCAGAAATGCTGAATCTAAGAAAATGCTTTTTATGAAACTGATTTTTGTCAACAGTTTAGAATAAACAAAACTCACACATTGGAATTTCCCAATCCGCTACTCCTGGCAGCAGCACTCCATATTGTTTTCCTAACTCCAACTGCTATATCTGATGCAGTCAAAAACAAAATTAGTCATATGCAGCAACAACAATTAAAAAATAAGTATAGCATCTGTTTAGAGAGAAAAAAGCTTTGATAATTTCATGGAGGCCTCTCACCCCCCTCCCACTACTTTCAGTAAAGAAAAAAACCCAAACAACCTCAATTTGCACATACAGAAGAAAGTGTCAAATGAATCTGCTAACTATCCATATAAAAGAACTATTGGGAGACAACATCCCACACAGCAAGACTAAAGTGTAGTTTTCCAGTATGGGAGCTAACTGTAGGTTGGCATAAAAATGTGCTGACTGCATTTCCAACCCTTATTCTGCCTGGGCATTGAAACACATGCCCAGTAGCCTTCCAGAAGCCTGCTGGGCATGAGTGAAAACTGCACTGCCCAACTCTGCAGATCAACTTCTGCTGTGTCAGCTCCACAAGGTCTCGGTGAGAGCTTCACCCTAGCCATTTCCCTCCTACTTCCGTTCTCCAGACAGTTCTTTCCAGATGCATAGAACACCTCAGTGAGATAGAAGAACTGGTGCCTAAAGAGCCATTCCCCACCCCCACCCCTCAAATGCACACATACTTCTCTTGCTGTCTCTCCCAGGCCCAGCAGCTTGGGCATCTGCTTGCCAGATCTGGCAAGAAAAGTGGGAGGGATTGGTGTCTGGCACAGTGGGACCCTCCTTTTGCCAAAAGATGAACATCCTTGAAAAGCATTGGCTAGGGACCAAATGGGTGGGTATGCCCACAGCGGCTCCAAATGGACAATAGGAGCAGGACTTGCCCCTAATCTTTTTCCAGTACATGCTGCAGAGCATCCACATGGTGAGATCTGTGTTAGCAAAAGGTGGAAAACACCGCATTTGGAAGAGGAAAAGACAAGTGCCAGGGTAGTGGGCCAGGGATGAGTTGAAGACAAGGTCATCTGTTCATTTCTTTCTGAAATGGCTAACACAGCATCTTCTTGTTGCAGTCAGCTTGCCCTGCAGAACAACCCAGTATCTTAGGTCTGGTCTACACATGTAGGGTGAATGATAGGATTGTATCTTTTCAGCCTACAAGGGGAATCGTGCCTCTTTTGAATGTTCCCTGTAAATGATCAGCAAGAAGTAGGTGCTAAACATGTTTTCTATTTGTAGGGAATTTTATGTAGAGGAGCATTTAGAAATATGATCTCTTTACCTGAAGTCTGAAATAATACAATCTTTAATGCCACCCCAGATTTCTGCAATATCGTATGTAAAACAGTCCTTGGATTGATGGTGAGGAAGACAAATACTGTAACAGGAGTGATATAAAGCAGAAGTAATTCTATATCTTTCATTATATATGTTTCTCTGTTAGTAAAGGCAAGATCACAACATGCTGGGATGCAGGACTCTGTAATATTAATAACCATACTAATAAATTATATTTGCATCATTTGGTTGTGACACTTCCACAGGCCAGAATGTTGCTTTAGTTCCTTCCGGCGAATGGATGCAAAGGCTGCTACTGAAAAATTCCAGCAGGATCTGGGGTTTCGAATGCTGAACTGTGGAAGGACTGATCTGATTAACCAAGCTATAGAAGCTTTAGGACCTGAAGGCGTTAATACAATGGATGATCAGGTACATAACGTTCAGTTACATAACATTCACTATGGTATGACATAGGAGAGCAAGATCAAAATCCAAAGTTCACGTTGTTACGGTCATATCAACTTATACTCTTTCCAAAACCAGCACGTAAAGGTTTTTACTAAGGGTTGACTCAGGGCTACTCTGGTATTCTGGATCATTCAGCACTAGGAGCTCTTAACTGCCTCTAGTTGTTTTAGAAAAACTGGGGGTTCTTCCTTTTCGGGCCTTTAGGCTATAAATAAATAAATAAATAAATAAATATTCTTTTCCTTATAAATTCTAACACATCGTCCCATTGTGAGATATTTGAGTCAATAGGAGACAGCAACTAAGTTTATAAGGAGAAATACAGCAGGAACATGAATTTCAGAAGCCTCCTTAGTTTGATTGATATCATCAAGGCATTGTAAAGATTTATAGACAAGGCAAACTGGTAGAGGAAAATGTCTGGAAACCAAGGTCATTTCAGTGTTTCCAGTTCATAGTACGTCATCTGGAGCTCACTTCTGCCCACTTCTGAGGCCAGTGCATAACATGGCATGTTATGTTGACATAGCAATTATTTTTTCTTAACCTGTCTTTAAGATTTCATGTGTTGTGTTCATGCGAGACATAAAATGTTGCATTTTATGTCTCAAGGACAAAAAGGAGAAGTATTGTAAAAGGATAATGTGCAACATTTAAGCATTTCTGCAGAAGAATCAACATAAATCCTTACACTGAAATCAATTCCATGCCTAGTCTACTTCCAGATGTTTATAAAAAGAAAAAACATCTATGCAAAAGTTATCATATATAGATAATGTAGCTGTATTATGAAATGTGAGGAAATAACTGTACACATGTATAATATATAGAACCCAACATTTTGTTGATGAGCTTTGCCTTTGGACATAAAATAAACTGGCTGCATACATTGTCCTTAAGGGTATGACTCCACTCATGTATGCCTGTTCTGCTGGAGACGAAGCCATGGTGCAGATGCTGATTGATGCCGGAGCAAATCTGGATATACCAGTAAGTGAAAAGCAAGTGCAAAGATGTGGCTTTAGTAATTCCATAGCAAAATACTGTATTTTGGGGTTCATATAATATTTTGCTGAATATGTTTGGAGAGAAATTTATTTCTTTTTAGAAATGATGGTGGTGGTGGTGGTGGTGGTGATGCTTATGGATTCTAAAGCAACAATGCCTGCCATAGATGAGATAATGAATTATAATGCATAGGAATGGGGAAATTGAAAGAAAACATCTTTCCCCTCTGCAAGAACAACCTCCAAAGAAAACTAGTAGATTCTTTTTAAATAAACAAACAAACCTAAAGGACTAAATACACTGACCAGTGAATTCTCTGAGTTACATCAGCCTACGAGTTCCAAGGACTGCAATTTACCAGGGATGTGCCATTCTCAAACACATCTTAGGAGCTTAACAAGAAGAAGGAGAATTGCAACCAATAAACATTTCTCCATTTTTCTGAGGTCCCTGGAAGTTCATCCCGATACCCATCAGTACATCCTGATAGCCGACACTGGACTGCACTCACCTTCGCTGTATTACATGGCCATATCTCAGTAGTCCAGGTGAGCAAAAGACAAGTTGTCAAGCTTTCACATGCAACCTGAAAAGTACATGATGGGAGCCCCATAACACTCAGCTAACAAGATGAAAATCCATGCTGCCTGGGATTATGTGGATCTAGAAGGCACCAGATTGGGTTTGCTGCTGTATATGCCTCCATTTGGAAGCACCCATGACCTCACTAGCGAAGAATAAAGTGCCTCTCCCAACCTTTTTCCAGGGAGGCTAACAACAATTAATAAATGCAGATTTAGGGGACAGGTAGCACCACAAGTGTATTTTAAAATGTTTCAGAAACGAGGCATAGCCTTCATAGTCATTATTTTTTTATTTTTACCAGCACAGGCAATATTTTGCAGCTGCAAGGTGCATGATGTGCCAAGGCAACTGGTGAGGTATAGCTATAGAACTTTCTGTACACACACAAAACACACAACCTTCAGACACTTATCTCACATAGACATGGACAGCTACACACAAAGTCTGTACAATCTCGCACCATTGTGGATGTACAGACAGGTATATACATAAACCAAGCTTCCCCCTTCAACCCGCCTCAAAGCAATCTTGGCCAGGAAGGAAGCTGTCTGTTCCTTCCTGGTAAAAGAGATTAAAAGGCTGCTCAGCTTGGAAAAGGGAGAAAGAGGGTGCAGGGCTCAAGGAACCTTGTGAGGGGAAGGTTATGGGTGCAGACACCCAGGTTGTCTGTGGACACCTCATTGCAAGCGCATCTCTTAAGCCAAAGTGGCTTTACTACTTCACAGTAAGTACACCAGGCACCAGTTAAGTTAAATTTCTTATCACAACAGACTGACTGGAAGAGAATCCATTTAAATAGCTTGATAGAATGGCCAGTTAGTAATATTTGAGAGGACAAAAATAGCTGGAGGCAATGGATCCAAAAGTGGATACAATCATTTAGGAAAATTACAGATTTCTAAGTATATTTCCAAATGATTTTCCAGATATGCCTCTTTTCAGAAATAGCTGGAAATTTATGTTTTCATGCATCTAACATAAATTCTCTTTTAAAAATAGCTTTAAAATACAGAGAGAGAGAAAGAGAGAAACTTTATACTTGATGAATGAAGTACCAAATGTGGTGTATGCTAGGACTACCAGATCTGTGCAAAGTTCCAGATAAGCACTAGTGGGCAGCAGAGGGTTACAGAACTTTATTTGCTGCCATCTACTGGCCATCCAGAATGTTGCAGTCCACATCTAGTAGCCTTACTGTATGTTTTACAACAACTTCAAACAAGACAAAGGTAGATGCTGTAATCGGCAGAGTCTCCCTGCCCACATTTTTTCTTCTCCTTCTCCTTCTCCTTCTCCTTCTCCTTCTCCTTCTCCTTCTCCTTCTCCTTCTCCTTCTCCTTCTCCTTCTCCTTCTCCT